CGGCCAGACCTCGCTCGAAAGTTTGCGGACTTGCGTGCGAATGCCGCAGTTGGGCCGACATAATGCGATTCCGCTCTTACGCGCGCATTCTGCCGCTTTGTCGTCGGGAAAGGAGAACGAGAACGAGCAAGGACGTTCGTTTCACTGGATGCGAAATTCATGATCGTCGAGATTGAGATCGAGCATCCCGCGCGTATACGTTAAATCGAACTTTGATCGTTGGAATTTTATAGCGCGACTCTCGTATCCCCTGCCCTCTTCCCCTCGATGTTTGTCTAATGAGAATCCGAAAGAGCGATCCGTGGGGCTGCATCTCGGAAGCGGAGAGACGCGAAAAGCGATTCGAAATAGATCAGAATTTGGCGGACGCGCTGCGCGGAACGATTTCTAACTGATTTCTTGCGTGTTCACATACGAGAGATACAAATTTAACGCGGATAGAAATATAAATCAGGAACAGGTGGCTCTTGTAAAGAGCCAGAATTTGCAAAGCGAAACTTCCGCGATTCCTCGCGCATCCGTGGCCTCATGGTTTGGCTGAGAGATTAAGATAAAAGTATCATTTCCACGCATCTAATTCTGGACATTAGTATTGTGTGGGATATTCAAATACGAATATTTAATCTTTCAACATAGAATACAATGAGAAGATAAAGAGAAAAAAATTGGCAAAAAAGCGATCAGTCGCCTTCAGAGAAATATTGTGTCTATTGAACAAATCACGCGTGCAATGATAAATTGTGCAGATACAGTCACTGTAACATTTTATACCAAAAGTCGCAATTATTGAATCAATTGATGACTCATCACAGCAACTATGTGATTCATTTAATCGACTAAACATTTGTTTGAATAAATTTTGTTCGTTCAATCGAAATTTCGTTAAGCCATTCATTAAGTCCGCCACTTTTTTTCTCAGTGTATATTTTCAATATATGTATATATATTTTATGCTAAAGTTTAAAATATTAGTATCTAACGTTCATAACAATAAGAATATCTAAGTATCTAAGCATCGGTACTTTCACTTTCAGATAGAATACATGTATATGTTATTGTGTGAAATTCAGGTATTGTATACCTATTAAACATTCTACAGAATGTTTATCAATTTTTAATGCCTACACTGAGAGAAAAATTATATTAAAATCAACAAATATTTCTTTGATGAGTGCCATTAACATGTTTACTCAAATCTACATTCTCCTTATTTAAATCAAATATTGTTTATCTGATTTAAATAAACAATATTTGGTTTAAATAAAGAGAATGTAGATTTAAGTAAATATGTTAATGGCACCCAGCAAAGAAATATTTATTGATTTTAATATAATTTTTCTCTCAGTGTAAGTATCTCCTATATAATTCCTAGGTATTTTCTGTATAATAACCGGATTTTTCACTTTGCCGCTAACATACACACACACACACACACACACACACACACAACACACATATATATATATATATATAATGTTTATAAAGAATTTAAATATTCATGTTGATACAAAGACTTAAATAATAAAAATATCCCGGACTGGATAAGTGTGCGGATATTTTCATCTTGGATTAAAAAATGCTCAACTTTTCTCATCCATATACCGGATATACGCGATCCACGTAAATAATGTATATTATCAAGATCAGAATAATACGCGAAATGTAATATTTCCGCTAATGGAATTCCTTTATTTTCGCGGCGTTTCGCTGTACTGCGTTGCAACTGGAACAAACGTCGCGCAAATAAATCGTGCGCGACGATACGTCGTGCGTGTCGTTAAAAGCGTATTACGGGTGCGCGTTTAACGTAAACGGGAGCCAGTTCGCGTCGGCATTTACAGTGTTTAGCGTCTTGCGGTATCGGCGCCGACCGACAGGAGTTTCCTGCGTATCGCGTTTTGCCGGTTCATCGGTTCTCACCGTGAACTCCAACTTGGAATCCGGCTGATTTTGGAAGCGCGGCGTATCGCGCGACGAAAAATTATTCAGCTCGAAAAAGGCGTCTCTCTTCTTACACTTTTGGCGCACAATCCCGAAAATAACGATGCCACAAGATCGGGGCTAAAGGTATACGTGGAAAATGTTTCGTGGGCGAAGCGGTATATCGATTGGCTTTTTAATTGAGCCCGATTCTCGCGAAAGCGGAAACACTCGCGCGGCGCACAAAAATAAAACGACACAGAGACAAGGAGGGGAAGCGACTCGTGTGTCGCGTCCATACACATTCGTGTGACGAGGAGTTAGGAAAATAAAGAGGTGAGAAGAGCAAATAAAAGAAGGAAACCAAAGAGGGTAGATATGAGAACGAAGAGACACGAGGATCGTGTTATTTTTCGCATTTCCCAGGACCGGTAATTCCTATCGCGGCGGATGCGCGCCTCGGCGAATGTTCGCAATATATTCAGTGCGTGTGTCACCGGTATGTCGTCGCTCCCAAGCCAGGAGCAATAAAGCCTTCCGTATGCAAAGCGCATAAAAGAATGTCAATAGAGTTCTCGCGTTATGAGAAATAATAAGTGGCTCCGCCGCGAGACGCCGTCGAGAGGAACTCGAGATCTTGTTTTACAAGCGCTATCGGAAATTTGCGTGCATATCGGGGGAATACATCGGGACGGTGTACAATAGAGAGACGCCTTACGTTGCAATTTCATTTTCAAACACAGCCGAGTCTCGTTACACTCGTCGGCAGGTAACTCGACATTCGAGTCGAGCTACAGATATACGGTAACCGAAAACGGTTAATCCGATCGTGATCGTCGAATTGCGACAGTAGGAGAGACGCAACACTGTTCTAATTATCTCTCTTTTTCGGAAATTTCAAGAAACCGACATAAGCTTGATTTTTGCGATTTTAAAATAAAAATATCGATGCTAATAACACCAATAACACATGGAAAAAACAATTCTGTTGGTACAACCGAATTTTCGGTTGCTCAGGGATCAGACGAAAACTCGGCTATAGGAACAGAAAAATTTCTTATGAGGCTTCTGTATAGTCAATTGTTCTCAGTTGCTTCAATCGAGTTTTAACATCGATGAATGTTCAGATGAATATTTTCGGTTACAACAACAGAAATATTAGTTTTCATAACAGAGATATCGCTTCTGATCATCTAATTTTCAGCTGGTTCTTATTTGGTTGCACCAATTGAAATTTTTTTGCGGGCATTAGTACCTAACTGTAGACAGTTTTGGTTTTCAAATACAAACATTTAAACGTTCACTGTAAAATATACATGGACATATAGTTTCTTTTTTTTTCATACAAATCCTTTTCAATTTTACTATATTCTTAGTAGCCCAACAATAAACTGTCACAGTATGGTCTATCTTGTTAAGGAACATAGTAAACTTCGACAGAAACATGACAGATTTCGCTAGAAACATACACACGGAAAAAAGCACTCCGTTAGTGTAACTGAGTTTTCTGTTACTTGGGAATCAGATGAAAAACTCGGTTGTAGGAACAGAAAGATTCCTGTAGAAGGTTTTTCCACTTAAGCCAATTGCTCCCAGTTATCTCAACCGAGTTTTAGTGCAGCTGAATGTTTTCGGTCACAGTGACAGAGCTATTATTTCTCCTCAGGGAGTTTTTCGTCTGGTCTCCCTGAACTGAAATCTCTTTTTCGCGTAACAAGTGTTTTAATAGCACATTTCATTTCTTAAAGTATAAGTAGCATCTATAAAATATGTAAGGATAGTGAATTGCTGCAGAATATCGATCTATTCCTCGGTTATAGAATCCTATGGTAATTCTTACTATGAAATTCTCTCCATGTATGTATTCAATATACATGGTATATATATACATTCTGTTGAAAGTTTAATGTTCGTATTTGAGAGAAGATTAAAACAGAATGTTCCAGTGTCATTAGTATCCAGGCGTTGGTGCTTTCACCTGAGGGTGAATTTTTTGTGGTTTTCGGATGGTGAGGTACGGTCGAACCGCGACGAACCGTATTCTATCGCGCGTTTTAACGCACGCGGTGCGGAATAATCGCATTCCTGACTGCTCGCCTGACCTGCCGTAACTCCGCGAATTCGACGCGATGTATATTTCGGCGGGTGGGTCGGCGTCGTGGCGAAATACCGCGGTTTTAGCCCTCAAATAATCGAAATATCGGTTTACAGGACTCCCAACGTGAGCTCGAGGATACCTTGATAGTTGCGACCTATGTACTTGCATATACGCTCGTTTACTCTCCCAAGTTGCGAATTAATTTCCAAAGTTACTTTTGCGTTGTAAGTTTCGCGGGACAACAAAGACGGCAGTGGCGAAGGGGGTGGGAGGTAATCTCGCAAAGGCTGGGGTGGTACATCCCATGGACGGAGGCTTCAAGATTGCAACTAATGTAACAAAAGGAATTAAACGTATTTCCTAAATTATGTATAAACTGAATTTTTATATTGTGCTTTGAAATATATAAGCACGTCAATTTCGTACTCATACAGAAACGTGAAGATGAATGTATTATTTTTTATACGTGTAATTTGAACAATGTCTCTTTTTGTAACTCTCTGGATCAAATTTTCACATTTAAATCAATTGATAGTCTCTCTCTTTAGAACCTACTAGAACTACTTGAACTCGAGTAACGAATACGTATCGTAAATTAGTTAAGTTTAGGACATAATTTTACTGCAAGACGGTACACAACGGTTCTAAACATAACTAAATAATTTACTACTTGTCTGTTGGCAACGCGTGCATAAATAAACATAATTACAACAGTTCTATAATTAGATATATAATAGATATGTATAGATATATATTGCTATGTATACATTTCCCGGATAAGATATCCGAAGATATTTATAGATAGAGTTTTGTATTTTTATAGTGACAATATGTGAGTTTTATATAAATAAGATATTCTAAGTGTGATGCTGAATCGAAAAAGATGAAATAATTTTCTCTACACGTAGAAATATAAAAGAAAAGGTAAAAATACACAAGTGTATTTTTCGAGAAATTGTGCCGCATATAATTTTGTGCTCACCTTGATGCCGCTGCGTCCCTGCTGCTTGAGCAACACGTTCTCCGGCTTCATGTCGCAGTGTATGATCTTGTTCTTGTAAAGCGCGTCCAAGCAGAGCAGCAGCGAGTGCGAGAACTTGCGCACCAGTTGCAGGCTGAAGCCCTTGAAGTTGTTCTTCTTGATCAGCTCGTACAGATTGATGCTGAGCAGCTCGAAGGTGATGCACATGTGACAGCGGAACGTGAACGAGTCGAACATGTGGATGATGTTCATGGTGTTGTCTTTGTCCTGCTCGCGCAACTTGCGCAGTATGCGGATCTCTTCGTGCGCCTGGCGGTGGAAGCGCTTCTCGTTGCGCACCATCTTAAGCGCCACGTGTTCGTGCGTCTTGTGATCGTACGCCTTGACCACCTGGCCGAACGACCCCTTGCCGATCACCCGCAGCACCTCGTAGCGATACGCTACGTGATCGTGCGGCACGTGGATGTACGAACCCTGCTCGTTGTCGTACTCGTTGTTGTTGGGCCGGCCGATGATGCCCGGCCGTTTCTTTGCGTTCGCGCCGATGAAGTAGATCTGCTGGTAATTGAAGATCTCGTGGTGCTCGTACGGCGTCAGCTTGTTCATGTAAAGCTTCATCACAATCTCCGGCGTGACGGTCATCGTCTTCGGCTTGCTGACGCTGACGACGACGCCGCTGCCGCCGCCACTACCGCCTCCGCCACCTCCGCCGCCTCCACCGCCGCCGCCACCACCGCCGCCGCTGCCACCGCCGCCACCACCACCACCTCCGTCGCCACCGCCGCGCGCGCGTTCGCTGCTGGAGTTCCCATCGGAACGGCCGTTCTTCACCACCGGACTGCTCGACTGGCTGTTCGGTTGCGAGTGCGAGTTATGACTGGAGTTGTGACTCGCGTACGCGCTCAGACCCAGACTCAGACTGTCGCCGGGCTTCCACGGCAGCTTCTGGTAGCCGATGTAAGGTACCGGATGATCACCGCCACTGCCGCCCCCGCCGGTCTGCTTGAGGGTCAATCCGGTACCCTTGACGATCGGCGGCAGGTGGTTGCTGCTGTCGCTGCTTGAGATGTACGCTGCCTGCGTCGAGATCGCGCTCGCCGGCACGAACGGATTCGGTTTGGAGAGGGGCATCTCGATCCTGCTTGCCAACAGGGCTAAGCTAATCATTTGTGCCCATTTGTCGCGTCTCTATCTGTCCTGTCCGAGGCTCTCGTCATCGAGGACACGAGCACGCAAACGATGGGCCCGCGCACCGCTCCGGATCCGTTGACGCGCGCGGGGCTGACAGGTTTGCGCGATCAGTGTCTCTTTTGGTTGGCACCCGCGATCCTCGCGCTTTCGCCGGACGCGTCGAAGAGCAGCCGCAGGGCGATGTGAGGCATACTGCCGTGTGAAGATGAGCGTCTCTTGGAGATGGGAACGTCTCGATTTTCCTTCGCCGTGGCTTCAGTGAAATTAGACTCGTCGTGACGACGCGTTAGTCCCGTTTTCGTATTCGTGCTGATATATATATATATATATCTCTCTCTCTCTCTCTCTTTCCTTCTACCTTGTTGAACGAACTCCTCTCGTCGGAGTCGGTGAAATAACACTAGACGAGTGAGCGACTCGCCGTTCTCAAGAAACTACGATACGTTGCGCCGGGAGTCCCGGAGCGGCTCGCACACGTGGGTGCTGTGGCTACGCGGATCAATTCCTCTAATAATATCCTCGGGGCCGCGAGAAACGTGGCAGCTCTCGCGTAAATGCAGCGGACTAGAGAAGTTGCGCTCGCACCCGACTCGGCTCGAGACGGGGCGAGTTGATCACGTTCACGTAAATTCGCACGGCCGATCTCTCGACGACGGTCGTACGATCACGCAGCAGACAAGCTCGAAGCCGACAGACACTTGGCGAGAAGAGAGGAATTGTGAAACCGCGCACTCGGGGGTTGTCGCGTATGTCGACACAACAGGCCGCGCTCCAGCGATCAATGGACTAATTAATCCGCCAGGGTCCCGTCGATTCCGGTCGATTCTCCTCGCCTCCTCCGACGATGGCGATGTCGCTCGCCGACGATGTCTCTCCTCTCGGCTTCGAACGGCCGTCTTCTAATTTTATGATCTGTCGCGCGTGCGAGGGCGAACGCATCGTCGCGTGAGGAAGCGGCTACTACCTCCGCGGCTAACGGAGGTTATTGGCACCGGGCCGGCGCAAGTTTGACGACTCCGCTGTCGTCGACGCGGTCGCCGTTGTCGCCGCGTCTGCTGTTGCTGTGCCACCGCCGCCGCCGCTGCTCCATTCGACTCGACGTCGCCGTCGTCAGCGACCGAGAATACTCCCTCGTCGAGTGCGACTCACCGAGCGTATGACACGCGATGATACGCGATGATACTCGAAGCTGTTGTCCAGCGATTCCTCGTCGTCGTCGTCGTCGTTGACACCGACGATCGATTCCACGATTACTCGGTGCGGATAGACGTTTCTCGTCTCTTGGTGACCATGCAGAGCTTAGTCCTCGACGTGTTCCCTGTCTCTCTTTCTATCTTCTCGGAGATGGATATCCTCTGTAGTATTCTTCAGCTTCCTGCAGCACACAGCGACCTACAAAAACACAAACACTCCGGGTAAGAACGCGTCACACGCACACCGTTCGCGATCGATCACAGAAATCTCGCGCACCAACCTCTTGGCAAACACCTCCACTCGCGACACGCGAATAACGATAGTCGCGCGGTCGAACGGTCCACCTCTTCTTCCTCCTCCTCCTCCTCCGCCGCCGCCTCTTTATCGCACCAATTCCGCGGGATATCCGATGCACTGATGATTTTCGCGATGTGTATGATCGTCCAGACTCCCGTCTCTTCTCTTCTTCCTGCCTGCTCGAGACTTACATTCTCCTCTCCCGATCGTCCGCTCTGTTTGCGACGGGAACGCGCGCTTTTCGTCACCGGCGCCGTCGAGTCACGCGTATCTCCGCCACCTGCGGCGACATAACACCATGTAGCGCGGCGTCGTCGCCGACGTCGACACGACACCGCGAGACGACGGCGTATCCGCGCGCACGAAAATCGAATCGGGCGTCGATGCGAGCACGGCCGCGCCTCGACGGTTGCGCGGGACGTCGCGTCGTCGTCGTCGTCCTGTCGGCATCAATCCGGCCGGCAGGTCGTCGCGTCGCTCGCCGACGACGGGATGATCGTGCCAGCTGCTCGCGGCTCGCTCGCGAGTCCCGCCGTCTCCTGTTCCCCTCGGAGAGGACAAAGGGAACGCCGGTCGAATTCGTCGCTTCTGGCGGCACCGACTGGTCCGCCGTCTGCTGTTTCCTTCGTCTCTCTCTCTATCTCTCTCTCTCTCTCTCTCTTCACGTGAAACTGCTTCCCTCCCCTTGCGCCTATCTCCCCTTCTTTCGCGCCCTCTCTATCGTTTTATATCGCTCTGTCCTGTACACGACGCACGCACGCATTCGCTTGCTCGCCGACGACTGTCCGTCCACTCGTCTCCCCTCGCGCCGCTCTTTCTTCCTCTTCCTCCTTCTCTTTCTCACCACACCACCCTGTTTATTCTTTTTCTACCCCTCGATCGCAACGTCGCGCGGAGATCGCCGATGATCACGGGGTTGATATCCGGCACAGGAGGCACGCACATACGCGGCTGCATGCACATTCACAAACACACGTACACATACGCGCGCGCGCATATACACACACTCGCGGAACTCTGCACACGCACGGTGCGCGCGCGCACGTCCGCGCGCGACGTCGTCGTCCCCGACGGCTGCTCCGAAACGTGCGGCGACGGTCTCTCGTGTTAATGCCCCGATACGGGGGTAGGAGAGGGGTAAGAGGAAACTAGGGGGAGATCGTACACTGTACGCGACGGATCTTTACGGTTACGCGCGGCAGCGCGACGCCGCTTCCGGCGCTGACTCCTCCATGCTCTCTCTCTTTCTTTCTTTCTCTTTCCTGTACTGCGTACGTACACACGACGAGCGGGTCGGGATGAGACTGTCCGTCGTCGCGAACACACCACACGGCCCAACACCGACGAACCTACGATACGCGTTGTCGCGGCACGCACAGGTGTTCAGAAGCGGGAGGCGTCCTCGCTCCTTCTCTCTCTCTCTCTCTCTCTCTCTTTCTCTCGTCCCGCTACAACCTACCGCACTCACGCGCTGTGGACGGCTCTCTCAGCGCGAGTGCATCCACAATGTTCGGTTCCTCCTCGCTGATGCACCCCGTTCTTGGCGATCCACGCGACGTCGCGCCGACGATGGTAGCATCGGTTTCGCGGCGGCTCGGGGAATACTCACTGTCGCGCTCCAGTCCACCGCCCTCCACGCGCAGCTAGAGCCGGTTCCAGAAAACGCCTGCTGTTGTACCTCCTCTCTTTCTCTCTCTCCACCTCGATCTTTCGTACTCCCACGCGTGCACTCTCACTCACGCGGCAGGTATACACCGTCCGTCCGTCCCGCGCGCACCACGATCGTCCGCGTGTATCTGCGTCCGCTCCGCTCCGCTCGCCGACCGCGACACACGGCACACACACCGCGATCAGCCGCGGAGCGCGTCGTTTCACATAGACGAGCGTTCGTCGAGCCGGTCGCCGCAGCGCGGCGGCTTGGTGTCGCGAGACTTTTTGGTAATCGCGCGACTCCGGCACACGAGAGAGAGAGAAAGAGAGAGCGTTTATACACTCTCCGGGCTATCGTCCGCTTTGGGACATGTATCTTGTGCGACAGTTGTCGGGGGGGGAGGAACGACGGCAAACTTCTACGAGGTCCTCGGCGACGATCTGCGCGTCCGGCTCGTTTTTCTCGGACGTGCTCGCCGCGGCATCACGGAACCGCGATCGACGGCCAGGCGGGTGGCGGATGCGCACTCGGTGCTTCGCGGCGAACATCCGTTGTTCGCCGGACAATGACGGCGGACTCGCCTTGTCGCTGAGGCCAAAAAGTGCCGTCCACTCGCGAGGGGGAGACACTCGTCGATGCCAGCGGCAGCTCCGCCCGACGCGAGCGCCGCGTAGCGACATCGCCGAGAAGCCAGCTCGCGGCAGAGGGCGCGCCGTGACACGCGACATAGCGCCAAACTATTTCAAATCGCCGCGCGACATCGCGCTGTTTCTCAGCGTTCATCGAATCTTTTGCAATCAATTGATATGCATCGAATGTACATATTTACTCATCGTAACGCTTAACAGCGTATTCAGAGTTACGTTTGATCATTCCATAGCTACGAGTGTTTAATGTGGCATGTCAAACATGCGTTTGAGACATAGTTTAGCTGATTGGTTATACACTAATACTAGACCACGCAATATTAAATCATAAAAAAATGACACAAATTCAAAGCATAAATATTAAACAACGTTCTCGTGACAAAATATTCTACGCGCGGAGAATCGACAGTCTAAAGAAAACATGACAAAGACACGATAGAAGTACGAAAAATACATTAAAACGTGGAGAATAGATTTGTGTTTGTTTATACATTTAAACTTACATATTCCAATACCGCATTTTTTTAAATGCTCTCTTTCTCTCTTCCTCCCTCTCTCTCTGTTCCCTCTCACACGACGAAATAAGATTAATCAGAAATACCTTATTATTGCGAAAAAGAGATACGCGAGACTGATTGCGACCTATCAGTTTCTCCTGGGATTTTTCCTTCCTCCAGTCGTTCAGTCGACCACCCGTCGTTCATTGTGCTGCGTATGTAGACGACGACGACGACAACGAACACGACCGACTCAACCTGACCTGACAGTTCGCCCATACAGCGTCGCTGTGCATGCTAGCGTTATTTTGACCCGTCCCGAGACCCAAGCGTGCAACGAGAGCTCACAGCTGATATCGCGCACGTCGCGTACGTCGCAGTAGTTGATAGTACATACGCCGTAAACGTCACAACGAAAATGAGTCTGAAGCCGAAGACATATAAGCAGAAACGCTCGTTTGGTGAGTAATTGTCGTCCGCAAGTACGTAAAGCACAATGTGGGCGCTGTTGGTGGTTCGTGTGAGGGTCGAAGGGTACGAAAACGAGGGATGCGTACGTAGAATATGGAGAGAGGTATCTCGTCGCTGCTCGTGTATTCTCTAATGTTTCGCACTCGCACAATGTACGTATTGTCGCACGATGACGCGCGTTGTTTCTCAGCTGGGAGGAACGTCGATGCAAAACGACGATCGAAGCTATAAATTTCGTCGCACGATACTTGCGATTGTTTCTATGTATTCGTCATTGTTAGTTTGCGATTTTTGCTGTGTAACATTGTGTAATATTGCTACAAGGTAGAATAAAGCTGACATCGAGGATGTTGCGGCAAAGCGTTTGTTGGGTGAGTGCGTCACTCGAAAACAAAGACGCAAAGGAGTGTTGAACGCTTTTTTAATCGTTAATATTCGTTGTAAAGCCGATATCTTTCATCGTTCGCAAAACTGCGATTTAGATCAAATCACTGATCTCGCGAACTGTTTGAGTTTTGACATTTATTTTTTTATTATTCTCTTGCACTTATGTCTTTATTTTGCACGAAATGAAAGATATGTTGTATTTCATTAAGAGGAAATTAAAGAAAGAAAATACTCACGTCTCACACAAACGAGAGTTTACGTTTAAAAGTTAAAATGCGTTTGGATCACATGTAGTATTTTTGTGAATTCAGAACAACGTGCAGCCGATGCAGAAGTAATTAGAGAACGACATCCAAACAAAATTCCTATCATTGTGGAACGTTTTTCTGGAGAGAATCAACTGCCACTTCTGGACAAGACTAAATTTCTGGTGCCAGATTTCCTGACTGTGGCAGAGCTTGTTAGAATAATTAGGTATGTTTTCAAGCACATAGGGCAAAATGAAATAGGATTTTAGGCAGAATAATAATACAGAATAAGACAGGTAATATTAGTTAATAAATACAAGAAATATTTGGTAGAATTTTATGAAATATTTTATCATAACATTGATAATAACAAGTAAATAATTTGTTTCTAATCAGGCGTCGATTAGAGCTGAATCCGACGCAAGCATTTTTCCTATTAGTAAACCAGAAGACCATGGCGAGTGGCAGTACAACCATGGCTGAGCTGTATCAACATGAAAAGGATCCAGATGGTTTTCTTTACATGGTATTTGCCAGTCAGGATGTATTTGGCCATTAACCAGAGAGATGATGCCCCTAAACCAAGTAATACAAACTACAGTTATAACAATGCGCATCTTTAATTAGGCTGTGAGACAATGTAACTGATGTAAAATTACAGGTAAAAACGAAATACCTCCCTGAAACTTCAGAATACTTTGATAGATGTTTACGTGGAATCTTGTGGGAATTTTAGATCTGCTAGCAACTCTGTCTGCCTTTAATTGAATGTGCAGAATCTTTGTGATCAACTGACGGTACCTGCTGGAATAATTAACAGAACAATCATATTTGGAACCTATGTATAAAATCATCACGGTGCTTTGTACCTTTGACATATGGACATTAATTATATTTGACATAAGTTAGTGTAGCGTTTGCTTAGTTCACTACTAATAACGACAGTTTCTATTGTTAATTTTAGGGGTGATAGGCTATACAACGGTAATAGTATATAGACGTTAAAGGTGTCATGTGTAAATTTTTTTTTAATGGATAAGGATTTCATGCGGGAGATTAATTTTTTCTCCTGTTTTTAGTCATTTAGTACTTTCATAAGAGTCTACGGTCATACTAGTAAGTTTAAAATATGTTCTCTATTCGATTTTACTGTTATTTTAGAGATAATTTATGTAATAGTAGGCCAGTGTTACTTTATTCATGCCAATTTATATACAATTTGTGTCATTACGATAGCTTCAGTGTGTAACGTTCATTACCGTTATTCCAGTTAATCTAAATACCGAAACCTAAATCAAAACTGGCACAATATGTTCATGAGCCAATTAAGCTGTCAATTAGTTAACTGTGTTTGTCAGCTCTGACCAAACTTTCAGTTTCTTTTTGGCATTTGTGGTTATGTCGTGCTTTCGCTTGTTGCCAACATAATCCCCCCCCCCCCCAAAAAAAAGTGTCATCTCAATGAGAATACCCACTTACCATAATAATCTTCATTAAGTATTATTTTTACCACTACAATGCTAAGACATTGACGAAAGTGTTCATGTACATAACAATATACATGTATGGTGATATGCGTTAAATTCTCGCGAAATTACATTTACTAAGTTTTACACAAGATGTAAAATTGATCTCTGTCGAGTGTCACGATATGCAACAAAGATAATTAAGTACTATTAACTAGCAGATAAATAAATTCTTCAGGACGATGTTTTTAAGATAATCCGACGTTAAATGTTCCCCGTCTTCAGAGAGCTCATGCAATAACGCTAAAGTGCAAAAATTTGTTAAGAAACGAGCAAGAAAAATCAGAACGACTGCATGAATTTCTGAAGCTTTCTAAACATCGGATAAAGAATAATTACATTTGTACACTGATACTTGTAGTATCTCCGAGCTTTAATTCCAGTCGATGCTAGTTCATGTACACATTACTCTACGCAGCCATTTAATGTAATAGTCACGTTTATGTAAATATTCATCGACATTGTCTCTTGCATTATACTGCGTAATCGGGTGAAATTTTGTCGTGTTTCGGACGACAACTAGATTTGTAGTACACTATATGGGTACTACTAATATGATACTACTCTCTGCAGCTTAATTATCTTTTTCATTTGTATACGCATGTATCATAATTTTTATGCGTATGTATTGCATAACTGACACATCGTATAGTCATCGCAAAGAGCAGAACGAAAGCAGAAAAACGGGATATCTATTTGACCACGACTCAAATTGTGTCCTGATGATACGAGTTCCGTTCATTTGAACAGTTGCACCTTCTACCTTTACAAATGAAATAGATATATATTTGAGTTTTGGAGAGAGAGAAAAGAGACAAGAAACAAAGCGTCGAATGTGCAGCTAAAAAGTGAACAGACCTACGATCAATGACGACAGTAGTGATACTAGCAGTAGTCACATTATATTTAGCTGTAAAGCTTCCGTGAAAGTATACGCGGAAAGCTACATGTACCCCACATTGTACGAACTATTTGCAATAAACTAATTTTTTTTTATAGTTTAACGCTTCGGGAAGCCTCTATTTGTTGTAGATCTGCATTTGATATCATCCTTGGTTAGAAAAACTTGATTACTTGTTTTTTGCAAACTCGTTTAGAATAAGTTACGTACATGTGGGTCTACATCAAAATTCGATATCAAAACTGTGTTACAGTAATTTCTTAATTACCCCACTGCACCATTTATAAAGATTTCGACTGCATTTTCAAGAAATTATCGCAAAGTTTAATGTAACATGTACATTCAAGAGCTTTTACTCGTAGCATTGTATGAAACATTCGTTTGAATGGGACGCCTCGTCCCGCCTTGGCCGACGTCACATGCGAGGTCGACATGGCCGCCCTGTGGAACGATTGATTCTTATGCGCGCCGCTAGACGGCGCTCCGTAGGTCGCGTACAACCGTCGTCGTTCGTCCATTATTCGATGACGCAGCGGTGGTACGTGATGTCGGATACGTGTGGGAAGACAGGCGGTGGGGTTAAGTGCAGTGGCCAGGGGAGGAAAGGAGGCAGGAGACGGTGAAAAGATAAAGGTTAGAAGAGGTTATGAACTCTAACCCGCGGATGCGCGACGGAGTGGCTGGTAGTGCGACGCTATGAACGGTCCCAATGACGTGTGGACGGATCAGTCGTCGTTGCTGGCAACGAAGGTGAGTCCTTGTCGAGCTCGATCGCTCGAATTCGTCCGCTCGTCGTTGCGAGTTCGATCGGCGCGTGCGAAATCCGGTGAGCCGCGGACTCGTTCGCTTGCGCCCACACGTCTTCGCAACAGTAGATCTGCTCGTTGCAGCTGCACTTTCTGCACCCCGTCTCTTTCCGTGTCTCTCTTTCCGTACTCTCTTTGCCAGCGAAGCTCGAATTCTGCACCCGCCTCTGTCTTGGCAGGAAGTGCAAGAGAGCGCAGATGGAACGAGCGACTTCGTGTCCGCGATCCGTGCGGATGCCCCGTCGCGTCGTCACTTCGAAGACGACGGGAGCGTCCGTCTCGAGCCGAGTCGCGACGCGTGTCTTCGACAACGAGGAGTGTGACGTGCATCTCGCTTCCCCTCGATGTGTTTCTCTTTCTCCTCTTGCAGAAGACCCTCCGGGTTCCGTGAATCGCGACGAATCCCGGCTTGATCGTGATGTGTGAGCGAAGAGAGAATTCGGAAAGTCGGATCGAGCAGCAGCACACTTTGTAGGTCTGTTCTTTGTAGCTAAACTAGCACGCATACTTTCGGAACTTGAAAGGGAACAGACATATAGCTGTGAATTGGCAGAAAGGGAAGAAAAAAGGGAAAAAAGAACTAGTGTAAGCTAGTGCAACCAGTTTAGCTACAAAGAACAGGCCATGTGTCGGAGCACTCGTGTCCACTCAATGGTGTCACCGCGAGATCGCGGGCTTCCTGCCGTTCGCGTGAGCTATGCCCTGCTGCGCTCATCGCCAAGCTACTCCGGACGATCGTTTCAATGTCGATGACGACGTCGTGGCGTAAATTAAAGGGCACGAAGCGATATGAGCGAATTTTGCGTTCGGAATTTGCGACGACAGCGTTTGCGTTCTGTCGCCTGTGATGTAACGCTTCCTCTCTCTCGTGCACAGGACGTTCCCATCTTCGTCGCGATACATTTTTACGACGGATTATTCGATCGACTTTCCTCCTAGCCGAGGAACTCGAAGACAGAACGGCGGCCTGACTCGAGATCGTCTCGTGTTGTAGACTTAAAGGTCCTCGCGCGCATTAAAGAGATTTATTAAGTACGTACAGTCACCTCTGTGTCTAGGTGCTCGTTCTTCGCAAATTATGGATCGTCTGAAAAGCAAGCCTCTTCCAAATGAAACGAACGATAACTGAGGAGCGTCACTGCACACGCGAGAAGAAAAGGCCAAGTTTAGTAACGTAATCGTTTAGAACAAAGCCGCATCGTGTACCGCCAGTCACGCACGTACATCTGCGTGCACGATTTTATTTTCGGACGTCCCTCATGCTTCTCTGCGTCTCTCTGTCTCCCTCGCGCACATCTGAAAAAGAATCGCATCTCGTCTTCGATGTCGGGCAGGCAACGTGATGCCGATACACCGCGCGAGGCGAGAATAAATCTGTGTCGATGCGCGCGATCGCGGTAGGTAGATAAGTAGGAGGTAACCTTCGGACCCACGAGCGACCTTTACCTGCCGTGGACCGACCGTATAGACGTAATTACTCGGCGATGACTATTCTTCTCGTCGGTGTGGTGGTTCCGAGAAGCCTGTAGATCGCTCGAAACGACCATTCGAAAGGTTAGAAGCCAACGCGTAATCGACAGACAATTCTTCGGCACGACGAAAAGCCCAACGGGCGCGCGTGTGTGTATGTGTGTCCATATGAGATGGCAACAAAGCATAGATGGAGAAGTAAATCCGACGAACGAATGACACGAGGGTGGACGACTCCTCAGAGAGTATAACCGAATAATGATCAACGCGGTAGCTCGAACACGCGCCGAGTTAAAACTTGTAAATTAGCGCCTTCAGAGAGTCGTCTCCGAGCGTTTCGCTTGCGTTGAGTCCGTCAGACTGGTTTTTTTTCCTTTGCATTCCCACGTAGAGGTTCCTCTCACGACTCGTTTAAGGAGATCTCTGTAAGCGCTGGGAGATGTCAAAGTGCGAAAAAAGATGTTTAAAAATGCCGCACGCGTGCGCGCAAGGTAAACGGGGCTTTGACGCCTCGCGAGAAACGCGACGATTTTATCGACGTTTCTGAAAAGGTCGGTTGCACTTGTATAAAAAGTCAGGCTCTATTCACGTCGCAAATGTTCGCACTGAAGAGAATATGACGTGTACTCGATTCAAGCCGCGACGATTAAGACGCAGTTGTCGGAAATCCGTAATCTACCTGATGATAAGAGAGCACAAAGAAGCGCGCGGCGAAGGCGTAATTCCAACGGTCTTGTCGTCGATCGATCGATCGATCGACCGATCGTCGTGCGTGCACAAAGAAACGAATTGTCGGGAACAATATCAAAGAATACATAAACATGTAGAGCCCCCGAGAGAGATCCCGAGAATTGATTCGTTGCCCGATTACGCGATGTAACCGGTCGCTGACGTGTGCAGAAAAATTTGCAAGATGCGCAAACACGACCCTCTAGACGATACATGAAAAAGAGACCAATCTGTGGATAGAAATGTGGTTTCTCCACTTAGCTTCTCCTATTAAGAAAATGTCTCTCTCTAGAAAAAAAATGGCTCGACGTTCAGGGTTATTTCAAGTTGCTTATCAATCGGGCGACTTGAAAGCTGCGATTGAATAACGGGCCGAGGTTTCATTTACGCGTTTAATAATCCTTTTTGCATTTTCATCGTCGAGCGTGATCTGAGATGTGGTTCGTTCTGTCGGGATTGCGGAGTCACAGAAATCGTCGATATTAAATCCGCAGCCGTGCGCATTCGACCTATTCTCCTATTCTCAGCCGCGGCGACCTCGACGACGTCGGCCGATAAGTCATCGCGGCCGCGTGTTACATGACATAACTTGTAACGTTCACCGAGAGAAGCTACTATCCGGGCGCGCCACGGGAGCGGACTCGTTCACTCGCGCGTAGAAAAGACTACTGACGACGACGACGACGACGACGACGATGACGAGTGAACTGAAAACTCATAATATAACGTCGTTGCGAGCGCTGAGAAAAAAATGTTTGGTATTTGTAACTATATAATCACATAGAGAAATGATTACTGCAAATTATGGCCAAGAAAAGCTTTTCTTTAAATTCTGCTAATGTTGGTGATAATAACCTGGCATGTTGCTATAATAATAGCATGCATATTGCTACTATCATTTTACTATAAAAAATATGGTTGGAGTCAAAAATAGCTGGAATTCTAGCTAGATCAAGCATTTTCTTTTTTCAGTGCGGAAATTTCTCGCTTGTGGAGCCAATTTTACCGTATTCCTTTCAAAGAGTTTATTTCCCAGTACCCCTTCTATATTTTTCATCATATTTTTATATTTCACTCGTGTCTCATCTTATTTATTATTATTATTATATTTTTCTCACGCGTTATATATACATTTCCTGTCGTGTATCGCGCGATATCTTCTTCCCCCGATAGCTTTTAACATTTAAGACATCTTCCTACGCGGCCTGTTTCTTATTATCGAGCATATTTCCATCATCTTTTATCGCGAACGCGAGTTTTGTATGCGTCCTTTTAAATTGCCCATTACTCGCGCGTCGCTTGTCCTTTAACCTTTTTCAATTATCGTGAGGTCGTCTCTGACGTCAATGACAGACGATAGATCGCTCCTTTTCCTCTCTCTCTCTCTCTCTCTCTCTCTGACGAAGACGCGACCTACCCGAAACAGAGACGCGAAACGACCTCGTACGCGCACATAACTCCTCCCAAATCGCACGCGTAACGCAAAACTACGTCGCCTTCCACCTGTAATTTTCCGTCGAGAAGGGTTATCCTGCGTATTCGGCGAGGCCAGGGCAGATCAAGAGAGCAGAAGGAGGAGGAGGAGGAGGAGGAGAAGGAGAAGAGGAAGGCCGCGCTATTAATCGCGGGCGTGTTACGTGACATAACACAACGCAACCCGGCACGTTCTCCTCGGACGAGGCGAGGAGAACCGCCGCCTGCCTGCCTCTTCTAGCGCGCTGCCCAGGTAGAGAGGAAAGCGGGCAAGCAGGACGCGAGAATGCACCTGGCCGGCGTGTCCCAGCTCGGGTACACAAGAGAGTGACCTGCCAACCTGCGCGCTACAGAGAATTGCCTGCTCGCTCGTTTGTTCTCTCTCTCTCTCTCTCTCTCTCTCTTACTCATTCTCTCGCACGAACGTCCGCTCGGCCGACCGACCGACGGAGAGACCGACCGACCGACCGACCGACCGACCGACCGGCTGCGTTCACCTGCGCGCAAGGTTGCGACGAGAGAAGTACGGCGGCAGCGGCGCGCCGCTCCTCGTCGCGAGCCACGAGAACGCGACGACGCTCCGGCGCGTCTGGACGCGTCGACGAGTGGCTTCTTCGAGTTTGAGTGCTCGTGTCCGTTTCATTTCTTCTCTCAACCGGTTGGCGTATTTTCGTCGTCGCCGCCGCCGCTGCCACCACCGCCGCGATACGTGACCCGTGTACGACGTAAGCGCGAGCGACGTGCACCTGAGGGCAGCCGCCTGCGCCCGTGCCCGTTCAACCAACCAGCCGACCGACCGACCGACCGACAGACAGACAGACAGACCGACCGACCGACCCGACGCACAACAGGTAGCGTACCGTGCATTCCGTCCTCGAAGTTTGCGCGCAAGCGCGCGCCCCGAGTTTTGCTCGCGGAGTTTTGCGAGTCTCCGTCGAGTCTTCGGCGGAATCGAAAGTGAATCGACAGCTTCTGGGGAGTCTCTCTCGAGCAGAGGCGACCTGGGTGCTGGCTTACGGTTGACCTTATGCCATCGGTAGGTCGTGTGTATGTGTGTGCATGTGTCGCTCCTGGAGATTCGGCCGCGCGTTTGGCGTTGAACGTGTCAGTATTGGATTGTTGTTTATAGAGTGCGTCTCAGAGAGACGATAGCCAGCGTTCTTCGACACCTTCGAGCGCGGGTCACAGCTGTGACCGGCGCGGGGCTTCTTCCTCGGCGTTTCGAATTCACGGGATGAATTGGAGGCGTGAGCGCGCGCGACTCTTCTTTTTCGGGTGAGAAAGGCAGCCGCCTTCTCCGCGTACACTTTCAACTCGCGCGCTGACCTTTCGACAGGTACGACCGCTGCCCGCGTTTTCCTTGCGAGCGAACGAGAGCGTGCACGCGCCAGCCTTATGTTTCTATTTTTCTTTCATTTCTGCCGTTCGATTTTCTACTTTCCAGCCGCCTAAACGTCGTCGTTTGCGCGTCGCGGGGTTATCGATGTTTACTCACGCTACGTGCGGTAAACAGCACGCCCTTATCGTCGCGGCGACAGTTCCGATTCGGGAAGCGAATCGTCGTGTAAAATTTTCACAGGTCGACCCCGCGACGAGCGCGATGACGTTCGCTCAAAGGTACGTCGACGCTATCGACCGCGATAAATGATAGCGGCGTGTTTTCAGAACACACTGAGTTCTCCCTGACGAGAAACGCGCGGTGTGTCTGCACCGCGTTGCGAGTCTCCGCGCACTTTGGATGTTCGCAATCTGAGAGAGCAGTGAGCGACGACTAGTCTCGGAGTTAACCGGAAAATATGGGGAGCATTGAAATTCGTAAGAAGCTCATCAAGTGTACTCTGTTTCGAAATAAGCTGAAGCACACCTACGAAATCAGAAAATGCACAAAGGTGGAGAATGATGACGAATACGCGCGTTATATCGATTGTGCTCTCAACTACGGCTATGTGCCGCGCGGGTGCTCCAGCTGGAATTTCTCGTTTGAGTTCGTTTAAGAAATTGCGAATTATCTTTGCCACTAATAAAATTGCCGCACGCGACCACAGCTCATAATCACGACCTACGTTACAGATACGAGAGATCGGGATCGCGAGCATTAGCCGCAATAGTCCTGCGTCCGAGGAGGACACGCGAGATATTACTCCAAGTCGCAAGTACGAAGCTCACTGAGCGAGATGTCGTAGATTCCGAGCGCGGTTTTCCGTCGCGCGCGGGTCGAGTTACGGACGTATGGAAATGGACCACCACTCGCTCTATGACAGCAGTCGGAGCGGCGCAGCGTAGCGCGACGCCGGGCATCGGCATGCACACCTACCTACCTAACCGCGTAGCAACCTACGAACCGAGAAACTCGGGACCATCTCTTTCACCTCTCAAAACGGGAACGAGGGGAGGGGACGGGACGGGACGGGCGGGCGGCGGGGCCAGGGACGAGGAGTTTCTCCCGGCAGGTGGGGACGGCCGGCAAATGCTCCAGTTTACATTTTTATCCCGCGCCCCTGCTTAGTTCTTCGAACACTTTGGATCGCGCAATCGTCTCTCTTCTCTTTCTCCTCTTTTATCTCTCTCTCTCTCTCTCTCTCTCTCTCTCTCTCTCTCTCTCTCTCTCTCTCTCTCTC